ACAGTGACTCAGGAATCCCTTCCTGCCAGAACAAGAGCTATCAGACATTACAGAAGCTCAGCGTAGGGCTCCTTGAAGACAAGAAGTCCGTGCCTTATTCTTCTCTGCATGCAACCCTCCCCAGACTACCATCCCCACAGCCACCATCGCTCACAGACACACACACACCACGACCGACCCACGACAAAACCTGCCACATTGCATGCTTTCTGGTTCATTAGTTAATTGCTTCAGTTCATTAATGTTTGACTTAGACCATGGCCCTCTCCCACGTCAACAGCTAAGGGAAATTGCAGGTAACTTCAAGCCAAAGACGTAAACTTAGAAAAAGAACTTCTGTAATGGGAGCTGCCTCTCTACCGATCGCCGTAGGGTTACCTCGGACACGAAAATACCCAGCCGTGAAACATACACCCATTGTAATCTGTGGATCGTTAAGGAAACCTGAAAGTCATTCCCACGCCTGAAGATAAATGTGCTTATTCTTCCCATAGGTGAGACTCGTAAGGGCTTGCTCTCGGTTTGTAAAAGTTTCTAGAGCGCTCTGTACCTGCCGTCACAAAGACAAACTACCTAGGCTACCTTACAGGGATACAGCCGGGAGCCACAGGATGAGGAGAAACACACAGCTGAGGGGTAGAGCTGCTAACGGTTTCTTACGTACCCCAGGGCAGGGCAAGTGCCAAACCTTTTTAGAAGCACAGAAGTAACAATCCAGAACTATCTAACGTGGGCCTCTTCCTTTCTCCTGTGAATCCAATTAATCATCGTATTCCTCGTTACTGGTGGCTGAAGCTAATCTTCATTTTAGCCAAGTAAGAACTTGCGTGTAACTGTCTTTTCCTAATGATTTTCTGCTAGACTTGACATATCCTCTACAGAGCAGGAGAGGAGTTGCGAGTTCCCAGGCGACTAGCAACTGCACATGAGACGAGACATGCACAAATAAAAGCGACCCGCCTTGCCTACCTTCCAGAGAGGCGAGGTGCTGCTCGGCTTCCAGGTACAGCTGCGAGAAGATGGGCCTGGGAACCAGGTTGTTGGACCGTAGGGACGCCTCGATGGAGTTGTGCAAGACCTCCTCGAAGCGTGTCGTCTTCAGCTGTCCGGCGTAAGAATTCCCCATCTTCAAAAAAACAGGATGGAGTCTTCTGTTTAAAATGGCATTTCAGCTTCAGTGCAAAGGACTGGCTCCACGCCCGAAGCCCAGCGTGAAAGGAGGGAAGGGCCGCTGGGCTCAGCTCGGCTGCAGCTACGGTAGGCAATTACAGGAAGTTATATAAGTAACAGCTTTCTCTAATTTAGCACTCCGCGGAGCCCGACACCTTTTAGCATATTTCGCTAGAAATTGCCTTTCGCCATCCCCAGGTTTCGCGAGACCTCCCACTTTTCCCAGAGATGTGATCTTGCCCCTGGGAGTCTCAAGACATACGATGTTTCATTTCCCATGACTCGCAGAAGAATGGCCCTTCGTCACACTTATGAATGTGATGGCAAGCGACAATCCAGGAATCCATGACAACCTGTCCCCAGATTTTAGGATAACAGGAGTCAGTCTCCCTCCCCTCAGAAGGCAGGCTAGCAGATTCCTTTCACTGCCTTTTCTGGTAAGATGCTGATTTATTAAATACACTCTCTCTTTAAAACGCATTTTAGTTTATTATCTTTCCATTATACCAGCAATGAAAAATTATATCTGAAAAAGCCAGAAAATTTGGAAATTACAGAAAAAGATAGGAAAACAAATCTCCAACATTTTTTTTTTTGGAGAGGTTTTTGCTATCAGGCGTGTGGGCTCGCCAGACAGAGAGAGACAGAGAAACAGAAAGTGAGAAATCACCCCCCCGGAGGGGATGGTCGCGCCGCAATCCCTTCTCCTCCATTCTCCTCTCGGGATCTTGGGCACACATGTACACATGCCCGGGGTGAGTTTAAGCCACCAGGTCCAGGACTCAAACCGTGGTCGACTACAGGGGAGTCCAGTGACATAGCCATTACGCTAACTACTGGTCCCCAAGTCCCTGACATTTCTATGCCCCAAGATAACCACTGTGATTATTTTTTCTGTAGCAGTAGATTGCAACTGTCATGCAATCATTTTAAAACAGTTGGTCACCCCACAAAGACCCCATCACCATCACTCTCCAACTCCCAGCCCCTCTAACCCCAGGCAACTAATTTATTTCTATCTCAAAAGATTTGCTTCTTCTGGACGTTTTCTATAAATGGAATTATTTCATATAGAGGTCTTCAAAAAGTTGACTGAAAATGTGTGTTTTGACAAAGCTATACATGAATTTTTTTTTTTTTTGGAGAGGTTTTTTTCTATAGGGCGCATGCACTCGCCAGAAAGACAGAGAGAGACAGACAGAAAGGAGAAATCACTCTCCAGGGGGGGTGGCCACACCACAATCCCTTCTCCTCTCAGGATCTTGGGAACCACGCATACGCGCCCGGTGTGAGTTTAAGCTGCCTGGTCTCGGATTCAAACAGCAGTCAACTACATGGGAGTCCAGCGACATAGCCATTACACCGACTGCTGGGCCTGCTATACATGGATTTTTTTTTTTAAAGTGTTTGCACCAAAATAAACTCAGACTTTAATTCCATTTTCTATGAACTTTTTGAAGCCCCTGCATGTGAGGCCTGTGGTTAACGGCTTCTTTAAGTTTAACCGTTTCCAAGATTCACCTGTTGTAGCCTGAATCAGTGCTTGAGTCTCACCATGACTGACAGAGTTTTAATGACAATCCCTTCTCCTCCATTCTCCTCTTGAGATCTTGGGCACGCACACACACATGCCCCGCGTGAGTTTAAGCCACCGGGTCCGGGACGCAAACCGTGGTCAACTACGTGGGAGTCCAGCAACATAGCCATTACGCTAACTGCTGGTCCCTCAAACCACGGGCTGCCATGTGGGAGTCCTGCACCCCAGCCACCATGCCACCTGCTGGTTCTCTAGGCAGTTTCTAATCTTTCTTCTGATTCCCTCTTTGACTCTATTATTAGGTAGGAGTGTGTGTTTAATTTCTAAACAGTCAAGACTTGGTGGAGTTGGAGCCTCATTATTCATTTCACATTTTTATTAGATTATAATCAAGAGCGTTGTCTTGGGACTAGCAGATAGCAGAGTGGTTACTAGACTCCCACATGGTCAACTGCAGTTCGAGTCCCAGACCCAGTGGCTGGAAATTCACGCCGGGCACACATACATGTGTGCACCCAAGGTCCCAGGAGGAGAATGGAGGAAAAGGGATTGCAACCTGGTCACTCACCCTGGGGGGTGATTTCTCACTTTCCTTTCACTGTCTCTGTCTCTTTCTCTCTCTGGCAAAAAACCATGTGCCCCCCACCAAAAAAAAAAAAAAAAAAAGAGAGAGAGTTGTCTTCATAAGCTCTACTTTTAAAACTTGTTAAGGGTTTCTTTTTAACATACACAGGAGGGATTTTCGCAAATATTCTACAGATAGGAGAAGAAAGGTGTACAAGCTCTCTTCAAGAGATGAGAGGCGATACTCAGCTCTATATCCTCGTGGGTTTCTGTTCACTTTTAAAGTCATATTTGACTAGCAAAATAGCCCTCAAAGAACCACGGGCTGGTCATTTCCTGCCTTCTCTACACACACTAGTTCCAAGACCAGCTCAGCAGCCCGGAGAAATCTTACATATTACTCTCACTCAAGAGTTATGCAATAAATGCCCCTTGTCCCTGATCAGTTGGTGGCACTGCAGTTTCAAGATGTCATCCTTGGTGCCCTAAAGCTCTGGCTTCCCTCCCGACAGTGAGATGAAGCAGCGAGGTCATGTTGATCCTGTCTCTACTGAACAGGGTTCAGCCTTTCCTCCTCCGGCTCAGATATCTGGAAACCACTCAGCACTTCCTGCTTGTGGCCCTAATCCCCCACCAGTCCCCACCCAGAGCCCCTTGGTCAGGCTCTGCTCACAGCCCAGCCCAGGGAAACGAGCTGTGTGAGGACTGCTGCGGGAATTGGCGCTGACAAAGGGAAGCGCTCCTCAGAGCTCAGCTGCCCTGACAGCCGGGGCGGGCGTGGGTGCGAGGAGGTGCAGGCCCCCGCCCGCCTTTTCTAGGACCTGCTGCACCAATGCTTCAGTACATGAAAGAGGGGTCACCAGTCCCATTGGGGGCGCTCGCACTATTCTCCATTCAGGGTGGTCCTTTTCAATCTGCCGCCAATCAATACATCTCAAATGATTCCTGTTTCCATAGCATCGTCTGGAGAGCTCAGGCACACACACCATGAGACGCTGTAAGTCGGGTCCTTTTCCACG